TGTCTTTTGTCCTTTTACCCCCCCCCCCCCTTTCTTGTAATTTAAACGCTTTCCTCTTAGCCCAGATGGTGGCCAGTGCTGGGCACTGCTGTACATGTAAGTCTCTGAACCTGTGCACAGATGGGAATTAACTCCTAGGTGGAAATGGTAAGACTATTGTGTGTGTGTGTGGGGGGGGCGGTATAGAAGAATCTCTTGATTGTTGCGCCGGTTTGAAACTCTTGCTTCTCCATTTCTGGCAGAGGAAAAGCCTGGCTCCCAGCCAGTTGGCGAAGAGGAAGCCGGGAGGTGATGGCTCTGAGAATGATGAAGACTGGCGTCCAAAAGATGTGAGCTCCCTGTCCCTTGCCCCTGAACTGCAAAGTCTTAACATGGCCTGTGAAACTAACCCTCTTTGTGGATGCACGGAGATGAAATAAGCTCTGCCACTCTTCTATCTGTATCCATTTTTTCCTTTCATGTGGGTAGTGGGGTGATATATAACCCTGAGCATGCTATCCCCCCTTTTCTCCCTGCTCCTTATATAATGTATGTGAAATGCTCTTTACCTTGTGGAGTGCTGTGTGATTGTTAAGCGGTGTTGATAGGGAGAAAAATGCCCCTGGATACTGGAGTTGTATGTTGGCTAGTGTATTACATGTTTGTTGAGGAATGTGAACTTCAAGGGATCAGATAACTGGTGTTTATCTGAGAACATGTTCATGGGGCTGTATGATATGCTACATTTGTTATGTGGTGATTGATTAATCAAACCTAACTTTAATCCAGTTAAATGTTTATAAAACCTGTTTTGAGCTTGTTTCCTTAAAAGTAAGCTCCATCAAGTCTAGTAGGAGATACTGCTATGTCAGTCTCTTTTTGTGTCTAACAGCAATATAACTTTTACTATCAGTTGTTGGAAACTGTTGTCTTCACATTTGTATCCTTTCATTTTTTTGAGGAGCTAAACATGACACTACAGTGATAGTAAATTCTCTACTTCAGTAATCCCATTATTGCTTTATCTTTTTGTTTGTACATATTCCATAGCTCCCTGTTTTACCAATGTTTCTAGTTCCATTCTAAAGGAATAGATGCAGATTATGTACTTTTTAAGAGTATGTTTTGCATTTTGTTAGTATTAAACTAAGCAGTGTCCTTCAAAGCTTATTTAAGGTATGCTTTGCAGATAGTGAATATCAACTCTTTTAAAAAAGCAATGTGCTTGGGTATAATCTGTTTTCTTAGCCAGTCTGATGTATTCATTCAGCCCTATGTTTCCCATATACTCATTCAACGTTGCTGTTCTTTTGTAGACTTCCAAAAGGCAGAAATATAGCAACAAGACTGAGAACAGAGAGTGTTATATGTCACCTTTCCGGAAGCCCTTGACTCAGTTAACCAATCGCCCTCACTGCCTAGATGGTAGCACACATGTAAGTGTTTTTCTACATTCCCATCAGAAGGCTGGATATAGTTGACTTGTGGAGAAACTACAAATTGTATTAGTTGCTGAGACTTCCCCACGAGCTGCTTTGGAAAGTCCAAGTTCTGCTTTGCCTTTCCATCTATGTTTCATATTTTTAAATCATTGTGATAGAGGCTTCTGTTGGATCAACTTCTGCCTGAGTTTAATAGTATAGAAATTGATGCTGTATTAAATAGGTCCAAAGAGACTAAAAGATTGATAGGTTGCTTTGTTAGTGTAATGCCTTGAAATATCCTGTGTTCTATGGAGGAAGATTTGGGTGATATTGTGTGCAGGTAAGCTTTGGATAAGGCATGCAAGTGTAGAGGGTCTGAAGGTGTTCCGGATGCTAAACTCCATGTAAGTTTCTGGTGATGCTACTATATGGAATGTTTGTTAACTATTCTTTGATTCTAGCTAGATGTAGTTGAAAGTATGTACCACTGATCTCAGTTCAAGTTTCTCTCAAGTTTACTTTTTGATTAACAGAATTTTAAAAATTGTTATGTTAATATTTTGTACCTTTAATCCTTAGGAGGCCTTTATCCGCAGCATTTTGTCAAAACCTTTCAAAGTACCCATTCCAAATTATGCAGGTAAAACCAACTTTTGTTTTTTTTCCCTCCAGTAAGCTTATTTGTCTTTGTTGCTATTTATTATGCTTTAGTGATCTTTTTCAAAAAATTATTTATTTAATTAATTTATACCCCAACCTTTGTCCCCAATGGGGACCCAAAGTGGCATACACTATTTTCTTCTCCGTTTTATCCTCACAACCACCTGTGAGTTAGGTTACGTGAGAGTGTGTGACTGGCGCAAGGTCACCCAGCAAGCTGTCCTGGCAAAACAAAAAGGGTTTTGCCTGCTAGCAAAATACATTGATAGAGGGAGATAGACTAGGGCAAGAATTCCAAAGTTCTGGTGTCACAACAGAAAGGCCGTGTCTCAGGCTGCCACTCATTTAGCCTCAGATGGTGGGGGCAACTGAAGCAGGATGTTCAAGGATGACTGGAATGGGCAGGTAAGTTCATATGGGAGAAGGCAGTCCTTAAGGTATATTAGTCCCAGGCTGTACAGGGCTTTCAAGGTCAATACCAGCACCCTGAATTGAGCCTGGAAGCAAATTGGAAGCCATTGCAGGTGGAACAAGACAGAAGTGATATGGTTCCTACAACCCACTCCACTCAACACTCTGGGTGCAACATTCTGTACCAACTAGCTTTTTGGATAATCTTCAAGGGCAGCCCCATGTAGAGCACATTGCAGTAATCTAGATGTTACCAGGGCATGCATTACAATGGCAAGGTATTTTATACCAAGAAAGGGCTGCAGCTGGCTCACCAGCTGATGCTGGTGAAAGGCTCCCCTGGCAACTGCTGCCACCTGTTTAAAATAACAGGAGGCCTGGATCCAGGAGCTTGATAAGCATTAAGTTGTAACCTTTTGACAATAAAGGGGCAAACTTCTCAATTCTGAGGACCATGGAAGGAAGTATTCTGAACTGTGCATGCAAACATGTGTGCAATCCATTGTACAGAAGGCCATTCTTCTATGCAGGAAATGCTCCAGTTTCGGGTGTACATTCATTCTGGCAGTCTTACTGGCTTCCTAGGATTTTTCAGATAGAGGATTTGTTCCTTTTCACAGAACTGTCTCAAATACTTTATCTCATTCCAAGCCTGATGAAGTTGTCAACCCGACAGAAATTATATACCAGGCTTAATGCAATGTCATGTTGTATCTAATCTATATATCTCATACACAGAACTTTCTACTTGGATTTAGCATCCCTTGAAAGTCAGCATGTAGTCAACAGAAATCTGAAATTTGACAGTCCTGCATTTTCTCTGGAAAGGTCAACATATGGATTACTTTCTTTGTGTGATGTTTCAGGATCCTTGGGCTTTAGGGCATTGGGTATCAAACGTGCAGGAGTAAGGCACGCTCTTCATGATCCTTTTGAACAAGGAGCCCTGGTGCTGTATGAACCGCCACCTCTGAGTGCTCATGACCAATTGAAAATAGACAAGTGAGTTGTCCCTATTGTATCCTCTTCTTGCCCACTGCAATTAATTGTCTTCAGTCATTTCAGCTTAGCTCAGTTTTCATTACATATGATTCTTTACCTCTCCTGTGACTCTGGCTCAGGTTTTGGATCTCAGAATGGACACACAAAGGTGGGGTGGCATAATTGGTGTGTTGCAGTACAGAACTGAGGTTATTCTCCCATCATGCAGACTGAGGAATGGCCCACACACTCACCCCTGTTCAAGAGGCCTCCTAGATTGCAGAGGCTGAATTAATTCAGAAGACACCAAGATCATATAAAAGGGCATAGATTACTGGAAGAGGTGGTGGAAGAGGAGGAGTGGAAAACCTCTGTCTGCCTATAATTTTAATCATATTTGTATAAACCTATGGGAGTAGGGATCAATCTCTTGCTTCCCAGTGTTTCCATATGAGCCCCAGAGGACACTGATGTCTATGAATCAATATCTTCTAGCAGTCCCTGGCCCCAGGGATGTCCGACTAGCCTCAACCAGGGCCAGGGCTTTTTCAGCCCTGGCCCCCACCTGGTGGAATGAGCTCCCATACGAGATCAGGGCCCTGTGGGATCTGTTACAGTTCTGCAGGGCCTGCAAGATGGAGCCCTTCCACTGGGCCTTTGGTTGAGGCGGAGGACATCCCTTTTCATTCCTGGCTATGTTCCCTCCAGTGGCCTGGATCTTAATATCGGTAATGCTGAACTGACATCAGTGGCCTGGATCTTAATATCAGTACTACTGAATTGACATTGGAACTAGCTTGTTGCACGGTATTTTATGATTTTACTGTTCTAATTGTTGTTTCAATTGTTGTTTTAATGATATTATACTGAGATTATTGTGAACCACCCTGAGCCCGTCTGCGGAGAACAGTATATAAATCAAATCAAATCCAATAAAAAATAAATAAATGTATCATGCAGGAGTTAACAGAACATGTTCAGTGCTGTTTATTCCTGTTTCCCAAATTGTGAGTGCCACAGTAAGGAATTTCTTGGTGGCTGTTCCTGGATGTAGTCAAAGTTGCTTTTAGATTTCAGCCCTTCAACTAGACCTGGGCCTAGTTAATTCTAAATCTGGGAATGCTTGTGTCATAAGGGCCTCTCTCTTTTGCCAAGCAAGATAGTATGTTGGCAACAATGTATATCCCTTAGGGATATTTCTCAGAATAGCATAACAAGTGTATTTATTTAGATCTGTTTGATTTTTGAAGGGAAAAAGTGCCTGTTCATGTTGTGGTGGATCCTGTTCTTAGTAGCATTTTACGACCTCATCAGAGAGAGGTGAGTGTTGTGAGAAATCAACTACAACAATACCTGTGACTGTTCTGAACAAATTCAGATCGCATAAATCTTTTGCCTTTTACTAAAACCATGTTGTCTTAAACTGCCTGGGGAGTTACAGTAAGTCACCCTGTTGGCTGCTGTTATAACAATGCATTATACAGAGACATATTTTTTGAGCGATCACTATTAGACATGCTCCAGTGCTGAAAGGCGTTACTGAGAGTGTTGGTTCTTGAGCATGTGGTACCTTCTGCTTTCGCATATCTCTGGTAGGATAAAAGGTCCAGTAGTGGTATTATGCCTACTAAATGCTTAATGTCAGCTGTATGTGTGTGTTTCTATTCTTGTTTTACCTCTTAAGTTCTGAATAGGTGTTACAATTCATAGTATTCTGCTTCAGGATATTTAGCACCAAAGTGCACCAAAGATAACATAGAAGTATGGAAAAGGAAAATGTCTCTTTTCAGTGGGTAAATTATATACACACACACACACACACACACACATCTCTCTATATTATAAAGCTGATTTGGGGTGGCATCTCTCCTATGGGGTGGCAGGATTCGATTCATGCCAAAATCAGTTGGCTGCCTGGACTGCCACTCACAAACGGGTCCCTGGCCACTGGCTGGGTTGGCTACAGGCACCGGAACTCAACTCACAAGACAACTTCACCTCAGGCACACAGGACAGATGCTCCGGTGACTCTGGCACTGATGCTGGGGGGTGGCGAGAGCTGCGGCGAGGGAAGGGATGATCCCGGCAGGCCTGGCCCGACGGGCGCTCGAGGGGGAAGGAGAAGGGATGAGGATGGTCACCATGCCGCTGTCGCTGGGGGTTGGGACAGCTGCGCTGAGGGAAGTGATGAAGCGAGGTGGCCTCGCCCGCCGGGGCCTCCAGCGGTGGGGGGGCGACAAGCCTGGTGAGTCTGGTGCTGCCAAGGCCGCTGAGTCTGTGGAAAGCCACCCTGGCGGGAAGAGCGATGCTGGGCACCCTGGCCCAGTGGGGCCTTGAATGGGGGGGGGGGACGAGGCCGATGAGCCTCGCGCAGCCGATGCTGCTGGGGGCAGGGAGAGTCGTGCCAAGAGAACAGCCCAGGCCGGCTGTCCTGGCCCGCAGGGGCCTCAAGTGTGTGGGCCCAGGGATGGCCGTGAATGAGGTAGGGTGCCCGGGCCCGCCGACGCCTCAACCGCGGAGGGGTGGCCAGGCCAGATCGCCTGGCCCACCGGAGCATTGAGCGGGGGGGAGGCTTGGTGCCCTGGCCCGCCGACACCTTGAGCGGGTCCGGGACGCGGGTGACTGCTTCCGGCCTGACCTGCCGGGGCCTCGGTCGGCGGTGGGGTAGGGGGCAGGAAGAGATAAGGGGACCGTGGCCTCACTAGGGTCCATTGACTTCCTTACCACAATGGGCCTTCTCCCTAGTGTGTGTGTGTGTGTATATATATCCGATTGACTGAGAACATTCTTTTATGCAGGGGGTGAAGTTCCTGTGGGATTGTGTCACAGGTTGTCGGATTCCTGGAAGTCATGGCTGCATCATGGCAGATGAGATGGGTCTGGGTAAGACCTTGCAGTGTATCACTTTGATGTGGACGCTCTTGCGCCAGAGTCCAGATAGCAAGCCTGAAATTGACAAGGCAATCGTGGTCTCGCCCTCCAGCCTGGTGAAAAACTGGTACAATGAAGTAGGCAAATGGCTTGCAGGAAGGATCGAGCCGCTGGCTATTGATGGAGGCTCCAAGGAGGAGATAAACAAGAAGCTAGGTATGAAAGGTGGATGTGACGTACAGCTTTTTAGCTGTTGGAAAAGGACACTGCATTCGCTGAACTGTAGAATAGTTTCAAATTAAATTAAGACTATGAACACATGTTTGCCGGGGCTCAGTCAGTTGATTAACATTGAGCAATTTAATAATATCTTTATGGATGTACACAGAGGCAGAAACAGCAGAGTTAAAGGATTATGTGTGAGGATAGGCAGGTGCAGAAGAAGTTCTACTATGAGAAGTTTGGTGGGTAGATTGTTGACCCTGGATGGAATTGACTCAGTACCAGCTCAGCTGTAGACTAGCTGAGATGGAGATATGGATTGTTAAGCACTTTGTCTACCCAAAGCACTATAATAATAAAGCAAAACATAAAAGAGTGGATAACATAACAGAGGTATGGAAAAGAAAAATGTCTCCAGTGAGTAAATAATTTACTTGGACTAGTCATTCATATGGGATGCAAACTATTCCGAACTCCTTCCAAAACTTCTTCATGCTTCTGCCTGGCTCTCACATACATTCTTATTCACCATTTTCCCTCTTCCCAATAGCTGGCTTTATGAACCAAAGAGGCCTTAGAGTTCCATCTCCCATCCTGATAATTTCTTATGAGACATTTCGCCTTCATGCTGAAGTTCTACAGAAAGGGAGTGTTGGGCTGGTCATATGTGATGAGGTATGTGGAAGGTGACTGATATTTTCAGGAGTGATGGCTGGTCTCCCCCTACCCACTCTGAGAGTCTGGACTGATGTGATGGGTCTGGTCACTAGTGTCTAATCGCTTGTATGAAACCCTTCTCTCTATGGTTCTATGTTAAATGCAACTGAGACACAGACAATACTTCATTGCTCCCTACCCATTTTGACTACCCATTGTAGGCATTACTAATTACTATTACTACTTGTTAAATGTAGATATATATAATGGTGGGCCATTCTTATGTTAAAATAAACGTTGGCAGTGAAGAAATCTTGAGAGTTACACAATGCTGATGATTGTATCCAGTCTAAGCTTACAATAGCTGAAGCGCACAAAGTGGAGCTGAATTGTCCTGTCATAATTGCTTCCTTGGATGGCAGACTGGCAGAGAGATTAGCTACAGGGTTGGATCCCACAGATCTGTTTCACGATTTGTGCCGCTTTCCACTGGAGCAAGGAACTTTCCTTCACACAATGGGCTCTTCCACTGTTGAATGGTTTGGGTGTTGCTTGCATAAAAGAAAGCTCACTGCTAGCCTACTGTTATCACTGTTGAAATGGACAAATTGTGGTTTTGTGGGACAACAAAGGTAGAGAGCGTAATGAAGGACTTGGAAAATCAGGTGATGTGTCGATATAGGAAGCCATCAAAGTAGGCAGGCCTGCAATGGCAGGCTCAGATCAAAGAAGAACATTGCCATTGTGAAGATGATTTTTGTCTGCTTTACTGGTAAACTATGAATTTCAAGCTCTTGCTCTTGATTAGAGTAGAATTAACACAGTCATGGGAAAGTAGGATGCAGTTGACAGATAGCAGCATAATATTTTTTGGCTAAATGTTTCTGTTTCTGCCTCTGTACTGTCCAGCAGCCTTGCAAGTAACCATGGGAATTGGTCACCCACCCTTGAGCCTCCCCAGCCATCTCTTCTATCACTTACACCACAACTCAACCCCTCTTCACCCCTAGGACACAGAACTATCTCCACTCCTTTTCTTCTCTTCACCACTTAAAAGTCATGAGAAATGGGGTAGGATGGAGTCAGCTGCCTCTACTGTTGTTCTGTTTCTCTTTTGCAGGGCTGTTCCCTTTCTCTCTTACAGACTTAAAGTCTGGGTTGGGTAAGGAGAAACTGGACTACTGGGCTGCTCCTTTAATGCTGCTGTGAAAACTGAGCTTAGGCTTCTCTTGTCTGCTGCCCTGAAAGTACAGCAAGCCCTGTCTAGTAATACAGAGAGAGACCAAAAGACAATTAGTGTAGGAAGCTAATCTGCACTTGCTTGGCTGGACTGCGTGGAGCTGGCAGGACTTGCAGCCTCTTTTTGTTCCCCTTCAAGATGCACTTGCAGAGATGGAAAGAGAAGGTTAATCAAGCCAAATGGCACAGTGTCTTTAGAATGGAACCCTATTTAAGATAGACGTCCATTCTGGTGGCAGCCCCTTGACAGCCTATATCCTTCTAGAAAGGGCATGCTTACTGGTGAAAGTGGAAACTGAAATGCAGTGATTTAATGTTCACTGATAACTTGTAGTTCTCCAGTGTCTCGGGCAGTTATCTACTGTAAAGAAATATTATTGTTGAAATTTGCCCTTATATAAACATTTTTTTCAAGGAGCTATTGCTAGCCATTTGAATCTGAGAGCTCAAATCTGGATAAAAGATTCTCTTAAAATTCCTGCTTTTCCCTTTAGGAACAACATAATCTAGTACAACCCCTTTTCTGTATACCTGTTTTGTAGCTGTACTTGCCTCTTGCCTTTCTTACGCTGAGCTCTAGTGGCACCCAGTGGATTCAGCCCATTTTAATAAAGGTCATACTGAAAGCAGATTAATAAGTGTGTTTATCAAGAGCAACTGATAGTGGTGCATTACCAGCTTTTGTTCTTGGAGATTGTAATGCATTTATACTTGCCAGCTATCACTGTAAGACAGATGCATTATTCCAGTTCAGTAAAAGTGAGTATGAATAAAATCTTTCTGTCTGAGTACCATGTTCAATAATTTGTTTTTCAGGGCCACAGGCTGAAGAACTCAGACAACCAAACATACCAGGCACTCAACAACCTGAACACGCCACGGCGGGTGCTCATCTCAGGAACCCCGATTCAGAATGACCTCCTTGAATACTTCAGTCTAGTACATTTTGTCAACTCTGGGATTTTAGGTTGGGACCTTTAGCAGCATAATCTGTTGACTGGACATGGATATGTGCTTGCTTTTATATATCATGTTTGTCTTGCGTAATCAAAGGCACACAACTGTATGGCATAACCCTGTTCTACTGTTGAATGGCCTGTCATTTTGTTTGAAAATCTAGAGGAATCAACTTTCTTTGGCATTTCAACAAAAGGATGTCATAAGAATACATTGGGGAAATATTTTGCTTTCTTTGTAAGAAGCAGAATGACTTCTCCAGCCATGCCAACTATTGCCGTCCATTTTGTCCCAGAAGTCAGTACTGTCATTCTAGGCAGTTCAGTGGTGGAGAGATCCTGTCAGAATTTTGGATACTTGGTATCAGGAATGGTTTAATTCAGGGATAGTAGATCTTGAGAAGGGCATGGAATGGCATCAGAAGTGATGGGTATTTCTGTAATGTATGGTGCAAGTTTCTCATGTGCCTCTGGATTTGAGGCTGTGCCTCATGTAGCTGAAATGAATGTTCATGACATACTGGACTTGAGAGAGGTTTTGGGGCAACAGTGTCCTTGTTAAGAATGAAATGGAAAATGTCATTGTTTGAAATAGTATCAACAAATGTTCAATAAAATATTGATAACAAAGGTAGGGTTGTTCTCATTACCTGTTTTCTCCTTTTTCTGGACAGGAACAGCTCAGGAGTTTAAAAAGCACTTTGAAATCCCCATCTTGAAAGGGAGGGATGCAGATGCGAGAGAAGCAGATAGGCAGAAAGGAGAAGAGAGACTGAAAGAGCTGATCAGCATTGTCAACAGGTGAAAAAGACTTTTTTCTCCTGTTATTTTCCAGGGTGGAAAGAGAGACCTTCACTATAGAATCCCCTTGACTTATTGCTCCTCTTAGAGCTGATTGTGATAGTCTCTGTCAGAAGCTCAAAAATGATCCATTCATCCCTACAGCTCAGCCTATCAACCCTTTGTCTGTATGGAGCTGATGGAGAACTATAGATTTTGATTCTGAAAGCCCTCTCTGTTAATAACATAGGCATGAGATTAGAACTTCATATTAGTAGCATTAGCTTTGTTTTTCTTCTTCCTAGGTGTCTTATAAGGAGGACTTCTGATATTCTCTCCAAATATCTGCCGGTGAAAATTGAGCAGGTGGTGTGCTGCAGGTATAAGAAAAAATGCAATTTGTAAAATAAAGCACTTAATCTAAGTGTCTGGTGAATTCTTCATTGCACCAGAACATTTCATTTTAGGCTGAACACAAAGCTCAGCAAAAGTCATCAGAAAAATCTCTTGAGTGTATATTGCAATATTTATTGTGCTGTACTGGCAAAATGTTCTTTCTGCCCTTGAGTTAGTTTTCAGTTTGTGTGTTGTTTTGCATAGAAGTCACATAGATAGCATTGTGCTGGGATGGGGGATGTAAATGTTTTGAATAATTTCTACTGAATTATCTAATTAAGCGTTGGCATAAGGAAGTCTAAGTATTGTATGTATTATAAGGTTTTTACTGTCCAACATGTTTTAGAACTATTGTCCTTGCTAAAAATGCATTGCTATATGTAAATCTCCTTCCTCCACAAAGAAAACCAACTCATAGTCAGTAGAAAAGTCTTTATTGTAGAAATATAGAACATATCTGAATCAGTATCTCTTGCATTCTGCTCACTTAGCCAAAAAACAAAAATATTCAGTATAATTTTGTGTGCACTTGTAAAAAATAGTTATGCATTAAAAAGCTAAAGAAGACAGATGTTTTTAACTGAAATATGTATTTATTTGTTTAATGATGATGGGTCAGTGGATTGTGCTGGTTAGAGTGTTGGGAGTGCCATGTGAGAGACTCAGGTTCAAATCCCCACTCTGCCATTGAACCTTACCGTGTGACCTTGGGCCAGTCATACAAACCGGAGAGCCAGTTTGGTGTAGTGGTTAGGAGCGCGGACTCTAATGTGGGAGAAATGGGTTTGATTCCCCACTCCTTCACATGCAGCTGCTGGTATGACCTTGGGTCAGTCATAATTTTTTTCAGAGCTGTTTTCTCAAGGGCAGTTCTTGAGAGAGCTCTCTTAGCCCCACCTACCTTAGGGTGTCTGTTGTGGAGAGGGGAAGGGAAAGGAGATTGTAAATTGCTCTGAGAAGTAGTGAAGAGTGGGGTATAAATCCAGTCTCCTCCTTCTCCTCTTCTTCTCCTCCTCCTCCCTTCTTCCTTTTTCCCTACCTCACAGGGTTGTTGGGCGTATAAAATGGAGGAGGGGAGAATGTTGTAAGGCACTTGGGGTTCTCATTGGGGAGAGAAGTAAGATTAATGCAGTAAACAAATGATTATACTCCACGCTTTCCCAGTTGGGGACCAAACGCAGCTTATTTCATAATTCTGTCTTCCATTTTATCTTCACCACAACCCTGTGAAGCAGGCTAGGTTGAAATGTTTAACTGGTCCATGGTAAACTGAGTAATTTTCCATGGCAAAGTGGGGCTGGTGCCCCAGCTCTGGCTGCCATTATGAAAGTATGCATGCATGTTAGGAAATGTGGCAGTTGGTAGGTAATGGAAGCTTTAGGGGCATGGTGGGTAATATCTCTATTTTCCAGGGTAGCATATTATTCATCTCCTGAATTCCACTTGTCAAGGAGACTTAAGCTACTGTTAGTTCTGAATATAAAACAAGGGGATTCAGTTGCTTTTGAAAATTGGAGAAATCCACGATCACTATCCCTTTTGGTCTAAATCATGGATATGTGACTGCTGTAGCTTTATATTAGTCAGTTGTTCAGCAATCACAGCCTGATCAATGTTGTCTTTTCACATCAGGCTGACTCCCCTTCAGTCTGAACTGTACAAACACTTCTTAAAGCAAGCAAAACCAGCTGAAGATGTGAAAGATGGAAAGATCAGTGTTTCATCTCTCTCTTCAATCACATCTCTGAAGAAGCTCTGCAATCGTGAGTAATTTGGCCACAGTTACAGTAATTTATATTTACTTGTAACATGCCCTAAACCTAGGGAGCCACAAAATGTAGCAAGAAGTTAGAAACATGAAAAAATAGCTGTCCTGGAAACACTTGCCAGTCTGAAGGTGAGACTTCTGTGCTGTTTAAGATTATGTCCTTGTAACACCTTGCTGTAGGTGGCTGCACCATGTTCTGAGAAGCAGTTTTTGTGAATGACACCTGTTATTTACAAAAATAATCAGTTATGATATTCTATTTTTAAACATATTTAAAACGAGAACTTTACCACAAAGCTTCTCAAAGACAAGCCAGGGTTGAAAAAATGGCCTTACAATTTGAGGGAGCAGAAAATAACTTCACAATCTTCAATTTAGTTATTAAGAAGTGACACTACTGTTCAAATATTTTGTTTTAATGACTAGGACCCTTGTGCGGGTAAAATAGAAGCAGACTGGGGTGAAGGGGAGGCAACCAAGCAGTCATTTTGGACAAAGGGGGTGAAAAAGACCCCATACTTGATTTACAGTTGGCAGCCCAGCCAAAACATATTGGAGAGGAGCCAACCAAGCTTATGGAATGAAAAAGAGCAAAGACCATTGGGAAAGTGTGATAAACTGAGCCTTTATCAGTCATGATAATGTTAACACTGCACAGTTTGACAGTGACAATTTTAAAAGCCTGAACTCTGAGAAACTGCAAAAGTTAGTTTGTATAATGGATATTCTATGTCCATTGTGCAGTGGATGGGGCCTTTCACACCTTTTCCTCCAGTTGGGCCTTTCCTGAAAGTATTTTGCATACTGACTCTGTCATTTAGGCCCAAAACTTGGTAATTCGAAACTTCTGGTAATTCGAAATGCTCATTCACTTTGTTGCCAGGTGTAGTTGTATACCTTGAGATGTATAGTTTGAGTTGAGTTGTATAGCTTGAGATACACAATATCATTTGTGCTTTACCCTGATCTGACTGGCTTTTCATAAAGCCTTCTGTGATGGATTGCCCTTTAAAAGATCATAAGTGCTATAATGGTAATGGACTGTGAAGGGTTAATGCCTCACAGAGCCAGAAAGCCTTGAGTGACAGGCTGCTCAAAGGAATTTGATTGGTTAACATGAGTTGAGCAGAGAGAGACTTCAGAAATGAATGCTGAGGAGAACTGATGCTGAGTCTAGCCCTGACTGAGAAGAGTTGGGTGCTTGACAGGGTTTGTGTTTAGCCCTGCCTGAGACCAGTTTAATATGGACAGAGAACTAAGAAGGAGGAGTGGGTAGATTGGTGAAGACTTCTATTCAGGCCAGAAAAAGGGATAGATCTAGTGAGAGAAGAAATTCCCTACCCAGTTAAAAAAGGAAAGGAAGATAGCTCAAAGAGTGAAGAGCCAGTTTGGTGTAGTGGTTAAGTGTGCGGACTCTAATCTGGGAGAACCGGGTTTGATTCCCCACTCCTCCACTTGCACCTGCTGATGTGACCTTGGGTCAGTCACACGCTCTGGCACAGCTGTCCTTGAAAAAGAGCAGTTTGTGTCAGAGTTCTCTTAGCCCCACCCACCTCACAGGGTGTGGGGAGGGGAAGGGAAAGGAGTTTGTAAGCCGCTCTGAGACTCCAAGTGAAGGGCGGGGTATAAATCCAATCTCTTCTTCTTCTTCTTATTCCTGGTCTCTGGTGTGTTTAGAGACTGCCTTCTGAAACCCAAAGAGTCAGTAAAACTCAAGAAAGTATACCGGTGTGTTTAGAGAAGGAATTTGGCAACTGGATAGTGTATCCCTGCCTTCTGGAAACCAAAAGAGACAATTAAGCCAAGAAAGTATACTGGAGTGTTTAGGAAACACTGAAACAAAAGCCTCTCATCTTAAAGATTATAAGACTGAAAACCTTAAGAAAATCTCAGTTACTTCAAACATATGAAGTCTGTGCCTATAATGATTTACCTCAGAGTTCCTTATTGATTTACCTCAGACATTTTATCCCTGATCTCACTTGACCTTTCCTCTTCTACATTGAATAAAATATTTTGTTATTTTGAACTTTAAAAAGCCTCTCATGTGCCATTTCAGTAGTTTAAGTTAAAGGGGTGATCTTGTCCCTTCCCTCAGATTCCTGGGCTGTTGTTGTTGTTCAGTCGCACAGTCGAGTCCGACTCTTCGCGACCCCATGGACAAGATCTCGCCAGGCCCTCCTGTTTTCCATCATCCTCTGAAGTTTGCTCAATTTCATGTTCGTTGCATCTATGACACTGTCTAACCATCTCATCCTTTGCCGTCCCTGTCTTCTTTGACCTTCAATATTTCCCAGCATCAGGGTCTTCTCCAGTGAGTGCGCCCTTCTCATTTGGTGGCCAAAGTATTTGAGCTTCAGTTTCATTATCTGGCCTTCCAGGGATCAGTCAGGGTTGATTTCTTTTAGGATTGACTGATTTGATCTTCTTGCAGTCCAAGGGACTCTCAAGAGTCTTCTCCAGCACCATAGTTAAAAAAAGAATCTATTCTTCGGCGCTCGGCCTTCCTTATAGGCTGAGCCAACAGCAAAATATCATATGGTGACAGGATAGAACAGCCATTCAACTTCAGAGAAGAAGCTAGTTAAAAAGGGCTGTTCAGTCAGAAAGAGAGAAAAACAGAGGGAAAACTCTGCCTTTAAGGAAGGGAAGTAGGCGAGGTTGCCATACCTTCCATCTTGTCCTGTTGTAGAATAGTGATCAGCTCAGAGGTTAAGATGCTGAGCTGCAGACCGGTAGGTCTGTAGCTCGGCTGTTCAAAACCGTAGAACCATGTGACAGAGTGAGCTCTCATCTCTGGCCCCAGCTCCTGCCAACCTAGCAGTTCGAAAGCAAGAAATTACAAGTAGATAAATAGTTACCGCTTTGGTGGGGAGGTAACAATATTCCATATGCCTTGGCGTTTAGTCATGCCGGCCACAGGACCACGGAGAAGTCTTCGGGCAGCACTGGCTCCTCGGCTTGGAAACAGAGATGAGCACCGCCCCCTAGAGTCTGATTCGACTGGCTTTCGAGCAAGGGAAACCTTTACCATTACTTAACATCCCTAGGTTCTTTTCCCCATTTGCAATTTGTTTTTATGATTAGCGGCCTGTGTTTTGTGCTTAAGATATTGGTTCCATATCCAGATACACTTGAAGTGTACTTGGGTACTTGGCCTTCTAGACTTTGGATATGACTTTGGAAAATAGACTTTTAGAATCTTGTGTCTATACTACTAGATACCTTTATTTTTGTTTCCTCTTTACTCAGCTTTAGAAACCTCTTTTGAGAGCCTAGTGATGATGTTTCTTTTTCTTTGTATTTTTTGCATTTGTGTGTGTTTGTGTCCCTGTGCCTGGAAGTCATGGTGACCTCTGGCAACTCCTACTGGGGCATGGAGGACATTCAGAGAAGTGGTTTAATAGCCTACCTCTGCCTCCCAGCCCTGGTATTCTTTGGAGGTCTTGCATCCAAAGACTTGCCGGGGTCAGCTCTGCTTAGCTTCTGAGATCTGAAGAGATTGGGCTTTTGAAGAAAAGTTTGTTTGGAATTATATGAGAAATTAAAGCCTCTTTAAATAACTAGGAGGCTAAAGGGAGATTCTATTTGGGGTGATAATCAAATGACCTTTTTGAATTGGTCACTTTTTGAATTTTATAAAATGGGAACTCTGAGGGTGCAAGTCTTAGAGGGTTGAGAAACGCATGTTAGGCCCCATGGTCTCGCATAGGAAACACCTTGGCTCTTTGCCCAAGATTGATATTAATAAACAATGTTCCTGTTTCTGCAAAGGTCAGTCTTCAGTAGCGCAATTGTTTTTCACCAGTGCATTCTTCTGAGCTGAAGAATGCTTATGATCACCCATACAATGTTTGTGAGAGACAAGATCATAATGAATGCAGAGAACTTTTGCCATTCAAAGTGGTTGTGAAATTGAATCATAATTACCACTATTAGAAGATGCTTTTAAATCAGTAAATCAGACCCAGTTTGGTGTAGTGGTTAAGTGCGTGGACTCTAATCTGGGAGAACTGGGTTTGACTCCCCACTCCTCCATTTGTAGCTGCTGGATGACCTTGGGCAAGCCATAGTTCTGTCAGAGCTGTTCTCTCAGAGCTTTCTCAGCCCCACATACCTCACAGGGTGTCTATTGTGGGGACGGTAAGGGAAAGGTTTTTGTAAGCTGCTCTGAGACTCCAAGTGAAAGGCGGGGTATAAATCCAATCTCTTCTTCTGCTTCTTCTAAATCATCTCTGTAGTGCAGAGATGTAGAAGCATATTTGACCAACTATTTCTGATAGTATCTGAATAGTACTGTAAGGCTATTCTTTCTTATCATGTGGAGACCAATCCTTCTGCCTTATTAATGGTAATTTCACTAACTTCTGTGCATTGGATTGACTCCTGAACTCTGGTTTTTCAGACCCTGCTCTGATCTATGAGAAATGTGTGGAGGAGGAGGAAGGGTTTGTGGGTGCTCTGGAGTTGTTCCCACCTGGCTACAGCATTAAATCCCTAGAACCACAGCTCTCAGGTAAACCCTGATGCAAATTGTTGTATATATTGGTACAGGGACCTACATTGGGGATGGATTCCTCCATATTGTTTGTAGTATAAGTATGCTATATGTGAATTTTTCATCCAGGAAAGATGCTGGTTTTGGACTATATCTTGGCAGTTACCAGGAGCACCAGCAATGATAAGGTAGTCCTAGTGTCTAATTACACACAGACACTGGACCTCTTTGAGAAACTCTGCAGAACTAGAAGGTATGATCTGGATTAATTTCTGTGTTGTATGTCTGACTGTATTCAAGCATCATGGTAAATTGTGGTTTATGAAGCGAACTCTGGTTAGCTTCCCGGACAAAAGTAATAAATCCCAGTTTGTGTATACATCTCAGTTTCTCAGCTTCTTGGTGATTCTTCACCTCCTGGCCAGGATGATATCTTCCATATACTGCTCTCTCTCTGGCCAGTGGTCATGGTGTGAATTCAGATATCATAACAAACCAACATTAGTATAAACTGTGGTTTACAAATCGGACTTTGAAATCCTAGATTGGTACCTACTGACAAACTCTAGTGAGTTGTAAAGTCTGAACGCACCAAGAATCCAACAAACTGGTGTTTGACAAAGCCATGGCTTATGACTCTATCATGTCAAAATGCTCTGTGTGAGTATGAATGTACAAGCACACATACACACTTTTAACAGTGTTGATGAGCTCTGTGGTTGTCAGCTGACTGCTATTCATGTTGCTGCTAGGACAGCAGGGTCAACAGTGGGAGGGCTTCTAATGTCCTGGCCCCACTGGTGGACCTCCTGATGGCACCTGGTATTTCTGGCCACTGTGTGACACAGAGTGTTGGACTGGATGGGCCTTTGGCCTGATCCAACATTGGTGTCTCTTATGTTCTTATGACAGTCCTTCTAAGTAGGGGAATTCTTTCAAGTGGAAATAGTGGGACGCTCTTGGTCTGATTCTTGTGCTTGCACTAAACTCTTGTTTTCTACAGTGCTTTAAAAAGTGCACTCAGTGTATGAAGCTGCCTGATTCAAGATCAATACTGTCTACTCTTAGTAGCAGCACCTTTCCATGATCTTGATAAATAACTTTCAAATGTTTGTATTTCAGATCCATAACTGTGCTAGGGATTGAAACTAGGGCCTTCTGCATGCAAAGCATGCATTCTGCCAGTCAGTCAATTTGTAGAACTATCTTGTAAATTGGAATTAAGCCACAACTATTTATGAGTTGTACTTATACTATCCTACTGTTTGTTTGTTTGGCCAGGTACTTGTATGTCCGTCTGGATGGCACCATGTCCATTAAAAAGAGAGCAAAGATAGTGGAACGTTTCAATGCTGTCTCTGTAAGTGAAGTTTCTAAGCTCAAGTTCTACCAGTATACAATCCAGAACAGTAGTAATTAGTCTCCAGTCAAAAGGCCCTCTTTGTTGGCTTCATGTATTTTACATGCCCTCCAATCAGTGAACTTAGTTATAAACTAATAATTGCTACACCTTTGCCTGAAGCAGAGACATTGGTTCTAAAGTTACCTCAAAGTAGCAAGAAGCTCTTTCAACTGGACCATTTAACAGGAATGTTCAAAAGTACATAAATGCCAGTGAAGTGCATCAGTTATGGCAAATTCTGTCTAGTGACTGTTCCAACTAGTAATGAGCCACCCTCTCCTAGCCAGTTTTCAGGTTCTAAATGCCCTTCACTGCTCAGAGATCAAGGGAACTCAGTGTGCCATAGAACAGGGATGTGGGAATGTGATAAGAGGAATGCTGCATGTGCCTATCTGCCATTGTTCTGTGTCTTCACAACCAAAATGTTTAAACCTTCAGTTTTCTATCAGGGTTAATAGTTCTTTGGTATGCTGTAGTTATTAACTTTCATTGACTATTTTTGGCTGATGTTAGGCTGTGTATGTGGGGCTGCCAGTTACAGTAGAGATCCATAACAAAGCAAAAAAACTCCAGTGATTTCAGACTGAGTGTTGGGAGTGGAGCCAGGCCAGTTTATTGCACAGCTTACTCTTGTTTAGCAATTTATCTTATCTCGATCAAAGCAGGGCAATTATCTTTGAAGTGTGTTTGCTTGGCTTTCAATTAATATTTGAAGGTATTTGACAGCCTGCAGTCCAGTTTCCCCCCCCCCCCTCCAGTTTTTTCTCATCGGTACATAGCACTCTGTTTGTCTTGGTATCATAGAGCCCTGAATTCATTTTCATGCTAAGTAGCAAAGCTGGTGGCTGCGGCTTAAACCTGATAGGAGCAAACAGACTTGTGATGTTTGACCCTGACTGGAATCCAGCCAATGATGAGCAAGCCATGGCCCGTGTGTGGAGGGATGGTCAGAAGAAGACTTGCTATATCTACCGGTTGCTTTCGGTAAGAACTGAGTTGCATTTTATAGCCCTGCCATTCACATATGTGGTTTACAGATACTGAAGACTGTCTGCTAAAGGGAAGAAAAAGTTTGCAGGTGTCTGATTTTGACTGGACAGGGGTGTGGTGCCATGCTATTGGAAGCCATTAGGTATTTCTACATTGACACCCAATTGTTGTCTGACTCCCCATTGTGCTACAGTAGACATATTGGACTGCAGAACTGCCTAAACCTTCATCAAAGGATGATTTCCCACATCAACCATGTAATTGTCCCTGAATATCTTGCAAAATAGACCCATAACTCATTTAGAGATGGGAGTCTAATCTGCATAGTTAGTTAGTTATTCACACTTGGTTATTTAAAGTTTGGATTTATGCTGATTATACCAGGTTTGGAGGTGGGGGAGAGAATTCAATTGTTGGGCTTCTATCCCAGGTTCCTGCTTTTCTGTCAGGAGTCATCTAATCCTTCTTTATAGTTTATTTCATAAATCCTGCCCTGTGCTTAAGGAATCAGTTTCGGGCAAGTCACAGATTTAAGCAGAAGTATTTTAGTCTAATATTTTAGCAGTCTAGGTCTGGCCAGGAAGTAACATCTCAACTAGATGGATTACTTTTTCTCTGCAGATGCTAAATTTGGTCAAATTTCAGATCTTCCTTACATTCATGTTCAGTTTGTGCTGGGTTAGTATTCAAAGGGAAGACCCCAAAGAATGGTGTAGAATGAAGGGTGCATGAAACCAGGAATCTGACCCGGAGTCTCAGATGGCATATTGTGCAATACCTCACCAGAAACTGAATGAACTCTAAAAATCAAATTCTGGCTAAAAATACATAGTACTTTTAATTATTCTCATAGCTTTTCCAGAGTGCAGCACTTGACAATTTTGTCTCCCTGTAGACAGGAACAATTGAAGAAAAGATCTTCCAGCGACAAACTCACAAGAAGGCACTCAGCAGCTGTGTGGTAGATGAGGAGCAAGATGTGGAAAGGCATTTCTCTCTTGGAGAGCTGAAGGAGCTTTTCATTCTTAATGAGACCACTAGAAGTGATACCCACGACAAGTAAGTCTATGTAGGGTCTGGATCACTGAGTGGCTGTTTCGTGTGTTGAGGACTGTGGGACATAATGGAAATGTATACTTATGCAGTTCTTTGAGCTGTTAGGTCTGTACGTGCAATGGTGGTGTCAGTCCACTCCATTCCCTATGACACTTATCTCTACCTGACCTTGAAGCTGTAGATTGAACATTCACACAGGGTCCTGTGCACACAGCTCAGCATGCTCAGGCTGATTTGTAAATACTGATTTCATGGTGCCTAAGGCAGATGGATGAGGCCTATGTTCCTGGGACCCCCTGGTGGACATTTGTAGACCCCATGTGAATGTCAGATCTAGTGCAATATCAGTCTCCGGTCACCCATAAAAATTGCATCTGGCTACTTTACTTGAAGGTTTCTTACAGAGAGAGAGAGAGTCCATACAGGACTCGTTGGTTGGCTGAAAATATGGACATTTTTTTTCTTTGTCTGCCTTGACACTTTCCCACCAATAGGCATCACAGATTAATTTCCCATGTCTGTTTCACATGTGAAATAAAGCATTGTTTTTGATCTGATACTCCTTATTTAAGGAATCTTAAGTTATAGTCACTCTAGGTAAATTTGAAACCAATATAAAGCATCTGGTCCTTCTTAAAGAAAAAGTGCACTGTTGTTACAGGATCAAGTGCCGTCGCTGTGTGAATGGCCATCAGGTCAGGCCACCTCCCGAGGGGTCTGATTGCACTTCTGATCTCTCCCAGTGGAACCATTGTGCTGAAAAACGTGGGCTGCAGGATGCTGTCCTAAAGACTGCCTGGGATGCTGCTATCACCTTTGCTTTCTACCATCATTCCCATGAGGAGCAGCGAGGGATACCGTGACCATTGGATTGGACTAAGCCTTTTGAAACTCAAGCGATTTCCCTTCTTTCTATGAAAGCAGAAATTTGATACCTCTACAGCTGTTGACTTGGTAGCATTAAGGCAACTCCTCCCCTTCCAATAACATTTCTCTGCTGCTTAATCTACTACCGATAACGATCCTTGCAAAAACTAGAGGCCAAATCACTCATTCACAGACTACACAGCTGAAGAGTATTGCAAACCAGATGTTTAACAAACTCATTTTAAAAAAAACTTTCTTGAAAGGATCTTGTATCTTTTTATTGTAACATCTGATTGTTTTGGGGGAAGGAAAAGGCCAAAGATGAAGATTGCTTTTGATCAACCAATAGCAAGTCCTTGGACTAGAACTTCCAGAGAAGACTAGAGTTGACAAACTTTAACGGATTGTATTTGCATTTTGTAGTATCTCAGTAATCATTTTGACACCTTGACCCTTGGTCATTTCACTGTATTTTGCTGCAGCCTACTGCTTCATTATGTATTCCACTCCATTACAAGAGAGTCTGTAGATCAAAATAACAGCCCACAATTAGGTTTCTATTACATTTTCCCCTAGGTTGCATTCAGATGTCACATGTAACTGGTTATACAAAAATGTACATAAACCCAGCTTGTTTGCAGGTGCTCCTCTTTTCCTTCCTTGCACTAAGAACTGCAGTTGGTCACTGACTTGTGACATATTAAGTGGAGGGTATGGGTAAATAAAGTTAGTTTCCCTTCCACTAGTCATGATCCTCAACCAAGGTTTAATTGAGGATTACAGTCCTGGATGGGGGTGGGGAACTAACTCCGATTAAGCCACATGTTTGCATTTGAATGTTGTGCTTAACCATGGTTCACAATATTAAACAGAACAGGGAAAGAGAAAGTAGCGAAGTACACATGCCAGTCTAGCAAAGCCAGGTACGTGCACATTTATTTTTCCTTATTGTGGGGACACGTGAGGGCTGAATGCAGTTGTATACAGTAAAGAAAGAACTATACTATTTGGCTGTTTTTGTGAGGTGGGGGCATTAGGTAGGATAGAATGCAAGGCCAGTGGAATATTTTATGTAAGAAGGAGGCATGATTCAGGTAAATAAACCTATTTTTACCCGCAGAGCTGAAATGAAGTGTTATACTGGAAAAAAGCTTCATTTTCCAAATGCAGTGGAACACTGGCTTTGGTTAGTAATTTATTTTGATAGCTTTAATGTTAAGGAAAATTGCTCATAGGGAGGGAAGTGAATAAGAAAAAACATGAATTTATTTTCTGATGTTCGTGACCACCTCCCCACCTATGGACTATGTATAGCTTGTCAGGGAAAGATTAATGATCTTTATTTTGGAGACATGCTTAAGAAGTTAACTTTTCTAGATTTTTAAAAGGATGTTGGAAAAACCATACAGATTATTAAACTGAATTGCTTTCTTTTTGTAAGTATAAGATGCAGTTCACTTAAAATCAGACTTAAAATGCATCTTGGGTTACAACAAAATAAAGGCAACTCTTCTATTAGTACAATCCATTCCACCTCAAAAGAAAAATACAGAATTTTATTATTAGAAATTCACCATTAACCAACTGATGGGTTAAGAATCTTTTTGTTGATTGAACAGTTAGGATAAACTGTGTTTATGTAAATTTAAAAACTATTCAGTCTGAGCTAAATAGCTCCCAGGGGTGCTAGCTATTAATTACTGGATTGTTAGGTTCCACCTTATGGTTACAGCCAGCTTGCAACAAGATAAGGAAGTAGAGTAGTCACTATCATTTCAGAGGGCCGTGGAAAGAATCATTCTTCTGTCAAACTGCTGTAAGTAGAACTCTAGTGTGTGTGTGTGGGGGGGGAGTCTGCTCCCAGGGGTGCTAGTTTCATATTTCTCTGTGTTACAGTGCTCATCATCTTAAGAGCCACTGTCCACTCTACCTACCACCGCATTCTGCTGCATCTATAGATCCAAGGTCTAAAACATGTTTTGAGTACAGTAACTCATTCTGTTCAATCTTAGTACCTCCCTATACTAATACTTAAATAATAGCAGTTACTGATGTAGCTGCCTGAGAAAGGAGAACTAAAATCCAGGGAAAATAAAATTTTATTATAAAAGAGCACCCGGTGTACTTGTTACATCACACTAACATAGTCGGCAAAGGCTTGAGAGGAGTCCCATGTATCACTAACCACACTGCATATGGCTCTGAGCCGCCAAAGAGCCTCTTGAGCCATTACAGCATCTTGGTCCAACCAATTTTGAGAGAGGCAAAGTTTGGTGAACTTGATCTGTTCTCTGTGTTGTGCTATGTACCTCTCCAGCTTCTTGGCAAACTCCAGGAGCCCATCAGGTTTGATGCAGTTAGAACTGTAGGAAAAGAAGATATGGCCATAGCTTCTTAAATCAGATTTTGCTCAAAGCAGTTCTTAGCCATTGTAGATACCTAGAATACTAGTAAGACTGGCCCTCTTACTAGGAGGGGTTGTAAAGAATACACCAGAAAGTGAGCTATCTGCAGGAGCTAACCCTCCCTTGATATCAGAAATTTTCATACCCTGTACCAATAGGAGTTAACCTTTCCTGATGGTAAGCTCACAACAGACAACAAACATGCATACTCTCTCTTTTAGTGACTACATGAAAATTGCATTAATGTAGCTTCTTAGCTTTCAAACCAGACAACTGATGCACAGAAAAGGACGCTCACTGGTGCACTGCTTACTTTATGAAATAAAGAAACATGGTTCTATAGCACCAGATACCTGAGATTATGGCTATGGAGTTTTTTCAAAATTTTCCCACAAATGTGGGAAATAATTGCAGATTACACAACTATGTTTTAAGAAAGTACTGCTGCCAACATCAGTGCCACAAGCATCTAATCTTTGATTCTAGAAGCTGCTAAGTAGATTAGATGACCAGTTATTAACAAATCCGTTCACAATTGGTAATATGTTCATATGGAAAGTTTCTGTTAACTTGTAGTGAAAACACATTCAAGTGAATAACTGCCATCATCATTATATGAGCAACAAGGCTTTCTGACAATGCAATCTTGTGCTCAGTTATTCCAACTCTAAACCCACTGATTTCAGTGAACTTTGAGTAGAATAGCTACATGGGATTGTGCTGTGACTCTAGCTTACTATCATATGTCATTAAAGTGATTAGCTAGCACTTTGCCCAGCTCACATCTTTAAAATACAAGCAGGGAATGGAAGAAAGAACTTGTTAAGCTAAGGGTAGAGCTGAACACATATCCTGCCAATTGCATAAGTCTACACTTCCTGGGCAACTAGACATCTAATGCTACTAAGAAGAGACATAAGGCAACCCCTAGCCAAGTGGCCTCAAATTTATTTTAGTGAGGGCCTAAGAGAAAGCAGATGAGGCATTCCTTCCTCACCTTCCCTGGGGCTACTGCCTGTATGCCCTAAGGAGATATCCAGGATAGGAAGGTCATACCACCTGCTCCTGAGAAAGCAACCTGGGGGCTGAGACAATTTTTACTGTTTGTCTATTCAAATTTTAAATTTTAATTGTTTGAAAGGTATATACATGTGTGAAATAAGGTAAAGCATACCTGACATCCAGATGACAAATGGAAGCAGATGAATCTTCAGAAAAAATATCAGCCAGTGCAACCAACCTGTGATTTCCTAACAATGGGAGAATTAAAATTTAAGTTCAAACTAGGAAGATGAGCAGGTTGGAGAAGAAAGTATGACAGAACAGATATGTACTCTCAGGGCTGGCAAATTTGACAGAGATGACAAAATTAGAGAAGTAACAAGAAAGGGGACCCGCGAAAATCGCGGGGGAGCTCCACACAGAGGCGGAGGAGGAAGCAGCAGGTAAGCTTCCCCCCCCATCCCGCCAGTTCCCCCGTCGCCTCCACTACCCCACTCCACCACCACCCCCGGCTCGCCGGTCTCTCTCTCTCCCTTCGCCTCCAAAGCGAGGCCAGCGGCTTGGAGCCATGGGGCCTCGCCAGTCTCTCTCTCCC